GGACCAGTCCTCAAGCAGTCCTGTAAAGCAAGGCAGCCGCAGTTCTCAGCATCATTTCAGCAGTTCAACAGCAGAACATTTTTCCAGCTAACCAAGGGCTGGAGTTGATGACCATCCATTCCCCACCCAAGTCCACAACAGCGAACCCCATCCTGCCGGAATAAAACACACAAACAAGTGACGTAAACTGAAAACACCAATGGCACATCGCTCGCATATTGCAAGCATATCAGGAGAAACAAGTGACGAGATGTCGCAAATGCATTGTCGACGATGTAGCAAGTCATTCAGGTCCAGAGCCTCGTCTAAGATCTTTTAACTTTTTCCCTGAGGGGTGGAGGGGGGGGGGGGGGGGGGGAGTTCTTGCCCATCATCATCAGCCTCCCATGACGCTGTACACAGCGGCGGAGGCTGACTTCGCTTAATGAACCTCATGAGGTTCATTCAACTAAAGGAGTGGGTTCCCACGCCACTGGGCGGGCAGACATGCAGAACACTGGAGGAGGGGGAAGGGATTTTCCACATGCACAACACTGGAGGAAGGGGGGGGGGGATTTTCGCCCTACATTCAACGTTTTTGTGCAGCAGCCTGCACGGCATGGCACGGCCCTGCGAGTGCATCGGTCATATCAAACACCAAATCAATTAAAAGGAATCTTTCCATGCAAGAGCACAATGCACGAAACAGAAATGATATCGCATAACACATCCTCACCGACGCATCCATCACGCAAACGAAGCTTGGTCGATAAGTTCAAGCATGACCTTCTAAGCCTAGTGTTCTTTGAACACCAAACACCTCAAAGAGACTGCATCTGATCAGTTGCATGCAACCGGCAGAACTCCGACCAAGACTGCAGAATAGAGTGGTGGGGGGCGCGATCGGTGCTGCCTGTCCGCCTGACCAGGCAGTCCGCTGACCGGCACCTCCGCGCCCCTAAATGGATGCGAAACCCCTACTCCCCAACAACGAAATCCCAGCGAGCGATCGGTAAGGGACACCCCTGAATCACCGGGCGAGCTCCAAACGCGACCATTGATTCATCAACCAGTGAAAGGTGAACAGAGGGCTCACGCCATGCCCTTAGCGCACAAATTTCCGCCAGGGAGCACACCAACTGCCCGAAGTGACGTGACAATGAACCGGTTATCGTTGACGTGAACCGAGCTCACTCACGCGTGGTACATGCAGATAAAATATATGCCAACTGTCCTTCTTATTTGAACATGACATGGTAAAACCGAACCAGGAAGCACAGCACACACAGTCAAGATGATAACATGTGAGCAGCCAATCTGGGCCCTAAATGGAGCCCAGCCATCGGCCCGCCTGCATCCCACACTGGCATGTGGCCAGCTTGCCGCCCACCTGCGGCCCGTCTGGATCTGAGTCTGTGCCGCTCCCCTTGTTGCAATCTAGTTTGCGCAAGATCAGAAAATATCCAGCCATGGAGGGCAAAGTAAAAAAATAGTTCACAAGTGTATAAGATGTCAGCATATGAGCAGTCAATCTAAGTCCGACATGGAGGCCAAAGACTAGTCCACCTGCGGCCCATGTTGACATGAGCCCAACTTGCCCACAAACATCCCATATGAACCCAAACCCGTGCTGCTCTTCCTTGTTATATACTCATTTGTATATGATAAGGAAAAATTCAACGTAGGAACGCAGCGCAACAATCCTAATGCACCTGTGCTTAATATGGTAGCGTGTGGGCAGCCCATCTGGATCCCAGATGGGGTCCAAATACTAGCCCATTTGCAACCCACATGGACATCAGCCCAGCTAGCCCATACACAGCCCACACGGAGCCCAGCCCAGGCAGTTGTTCCATGATCTAAAATAATTGTGCACAATATCGTAAAACCCCAAGACCATAAAAAAACGGTTGGGGTACACATCGTTGTGTATGTAGCAATGTATTTGCGTATGTAACATGTAGGCAGCCCAGCTGGGTCCAGCATGGAACCCAAAAACTAGACCACCTGTGGCCCATATTGACATGAGCCCAACGTGTCCAAATGCATCCCATACGAACCCCAACCCAAATTATGTCTACTTTCGCCACGCTTACAAGAACTGGCCTTCAAGGTCAAGCCTCCAAATGTCAATGTCAATGTGAACGCGCGGTACCCTGGCGTTTATTCGCTTACGAAGACAATGCAACAGGATGGGTATCATATGGTGAAGCGCTTACGTTAACTCTCGAGCTCGAGCTCGTAGTTAACTAACTCGTAACGAGCTCGTAACGAGCTCGTAACTCGTACGTAACTACTCGTAACTTAACTAGCTCATAACGAGCTTGTAACGAGCTCGTAACTCGTACGTAACTACTCGTAACTTAGCTAGCTCGTAACGAGCTTGTAACGAGCTCGTAACTTAACTAGCTCGTAACGAGCTCGTAACTCGTACGTAACTCGTACGTCAACTCTCGAGTTCGAGCTTCACTATACATCCGTTCTGTTCCATTGTTTTCGTAAGCGAATAAACGCTAGGGTACCGCGCGTTCACTCCTTGACATTGACATTTGAAGGCTAGGCCTTGAAGGCTAGTTCTGGTAAGCGCGGCGAAAGTAGACAATTCCTAAATCAGTACGGCTTATTTTGGGTCTGTCCCTCGGGTTAGCGAAAGTCTTTCACCTTGCTTGGTAAAATTCTTTCCAGCATTTTCAGCAAGAAGCCAGTCAATAAATAAACTGGTCGCGCAAATCATTTTGTATTATGTAACGACCTAAATCCTCATGTTCCCAACTCTGTAATGGTGTATAATTTTAAGGTAAGATTGTTTCTTACATAAAACAATTGTAACCCTAGCACAGAGAACCAGAAATCTTGATAAAATCAAGGCTTTAGCTGATAGAGATCCCATACCTAACAATCACGTCACAAATGGGTCACGATACCAACCATGCGGAATACTTTAGTGCCAAAGCGGCTGTCCCCGTTATTTCCGCCGTCGATAATCTCGTAACAGCTGACGACACAGTTGAGACGCACACAGACGACGAACCTAGCGCTCCCAGGCTGCCAAACCGGCTCGCGGTTTTGCGTCTGAAGGTTGGTTGGAGGTTACGAGTTATACGTTGCGGGGGGAGGGGGGCGTGTTGATCACGGGAAGGTGCACTATTACATGGCCTTGGCATTACCTATTGCGGGCTTGATGGAAAACATGGACAAACGTTGACGATCCCCTTGGTGCGCTGTGTCCCTCAGGGTTTATGTTGACCCCGACATGGAACATTGTTGGAGAAACGTTCATGATAAGGAGAGGGTGGTGTGTTTTTAAGTAGATATTCCCCAGCAACTCATTACTTTTATGATACCCTGCAGTCACCAGGAAGTGGGTAACAGCTTGCTTAGCATCATTTAAGTTAATCTGATATGGGAGCTACAGGCTACATTGTTTTTGGCGTGTGTTTGCCAGGAGCATTACACATTTGGATAAATAAAGATAGCAGCTGGATTCCACCTAGAACAACCAGGAAAATCGAGAAATAGTTGGATTGCTGTTTTGGCTACATGTCTATCAAAACTGACATTGGCTCCTGATATTTGCTACAATAGAGGCATGCAGCTGAAATATCAATCTGTCTATCTTAATTTTATGGGTTATTCTGTGAAGAGTAAGGCTATTAATCCCATGTTGTCAATAGGAGGGTTAAATAAGAATTATGCACAATGTGTAAACATCATTGGGCCACTTTGGCACCAGTGCATACAGGGATGTATGAACTAGGTTTGGTGGGGCAGGGGAGCAAGGCCCCAAACAATGTAAGAATGCAGTATTTGCCCCATGAACATGGACAAGAAAATTACAAAAAAATGGTTGAAAGCTTCACCTTAACTTCCATTGCCCGAGTGTAAGAGTGTGTGGACCACAAATTTGGACAATTGTGAACTTGCAAAAGAGTAAAATAATGTAGGTACCATAATTTGCCCACCACAATTTTCAACTGCTGCATGCAGGTTGACCCCAATTCATCTTAATTTGTGTTTTTCAGGTAGCATCAGCACATTAACTTGTGGCTTGTAAGTCATGTATTATAAGTTTTTGTCAGCTCTTTAAATTGTGTCACTTTTCCTTGCGGTGCATAGTTCAGTCTTACACATTATGCATCCCTCATTCATTAAACTGTAATCCTAAACAGCAATCCATTATTTATTCAGTTAGATGGCATATATTATAATGATGCAATAATGCATGCCATTGGATCCTTCTGTTATATCCATGTTATATTGCTCTTTCCCTCATATAAGGTCAACCAATCAACATTGAGCAGAGTGTTGCCAACTGGGTGTCTAGCTGCCCAGGTAATGCAAGTAATGGACAACATGTCCACTGGGTAATTTTGAAATGGGTGTGAATAATCTGAGGTGACCCGTTCAGAGCTGTGATGAACAGCTATGACAAAAGCATGTATTTTCACTTGCATCCCTGCTACCCAACTGGCTAAATATCACAGCCCTTTCACTCAAAGCCATTGGCTTGATGTGATTAGCAACTGATGCAGGGCCAGGAGGTATCAGATTAGTCCCTTTTGATTTCTTAACCAAACTGAAATGTAAAGATTTTGCACATATCTGGTTATGATTATGCTCATCAGTAATTTGTTATTGTTCATTTCTTGTTTGAAATGTGGTTTTTCGTCAGGTGTATACAGTTGTAGATGAGATCAACTGTAGCCTATATGTTGTGCTTTAGCAGCTTTGTTTGTGCATGGGATGAAGAGAAAAGGATGAACCCAGCAAAAGGATTGTGTTTGTTTAATTGTTGCATCATTTTTGTTCATACATAAACAGTTCATCTTCTGGTACATCATGATGTCACCATTTGAAACATTTCTGCCTTGTGGATGGCCATGCTTGAGACTGTTTACCTGCTTAGTTTCTGCTGGTTTATTGGGATGTTTGGTGACTCTATGAATGGTTGATATTATATTTGCCTTTCAGATACTAGAACTTTGCTTTTAAACTTCCCAGTTTCAAGAATACATTGAAAATGGCATTGGTCAACTCATCCAGGCTGTTGAGCATCAACCTGAAAAGTGTGGTTGCCCCAGTCACTAGGTGCAACTCATGGTGGAGCAATGTTGAAATGGGACCACCAGACGCGATTTTGGGTGTAACAGAGGCGTTCAAGAGAGACACCAACCCAAAGAAAATCAACCTGGGTGTGGGGGCATACAGAGATGACAATGGGAAGCCCTTCGTCCTGCCTAGCGTTCGTGTGGCCGAACAGCAGATCGTGGCCGCGGAGATGGACAAGGAGTACGCCGGCATCACAGGGCTGCCCGAGTTCTGCGCACACGCGGCGAACCTGGCGCTCGGCGAGGGTAACCGATGGGTGCAGGACGACCTGAACGTGACTGCGCAGTGCATCTCGGGCACCGGCTCGCTGCGAGTAGGCGCTGCCTTCTTTTCCAAGTTCTTCACAGGCCCGAAAGTCGTGTGGCTGCCGACGCCGACGTGGGGCAACCACATCCCCATCTTCAAGCACGCCGGCATGGACGTCAAGCACTACCGCTACTACGACCCGAGCACGTGCGGCTTCGACTTCGAGGGCGCGCTTCAGGACATCGCCAAGATGCCCGAGCGCTCGCTCATCATGCTGCACGCGTGCGCGCACAACCCGACGGGCGTCGACCCCAAGCCCGAGCAGTGGAAGGAGATGTCGAGCCTTATCAAGAAGAAGAACATTTTCCCGTACTTCGACATGGCGTACCAGGGCTTCGCGTCCGGCGACACGGAGCGGGACGCGCTCGCCGTGCGCCAGTTCCTCGAGGACGGCCACTGCATCGCGCTCTCGCAGTCCTTCGCCAAGAACATGGGGCTGTACGGCGAGCGTGCCGGCGCCTTCAACATGATCTGCGCTGACAAGGAGGAGGCGGCACGCGTCATGTCGCAGGTGAAGATCCTGATCCGGCCCATGTACTCGAACCCGCCCGTCCACGGAGCGCGCATCGTCTGCAAGATCCTGGGCTCGCCGGAGCTGAAGAAGCAGTGGCTCGGCGACGTCAAGCTCATGGCCGACCGCATCATCGCCATGCGCACCAAGCTCCGCGAAGGACTGGCGCGCGAGGGCAGCACGCGCAACTGGCAGCACATCACCGACCAGATCGGCATGTTCTGCTTCACGGGCATGAAGCCTGACCAAGTCGAGCGGCTGACCAAGGAGTTCAGCGTGTACCTGACCAAGGACGGCCGCATCTCAGTGGCCGGCGTCTGCTCCAACAACGTCGACTATCTGGCGCACGCCATGCACATGGTCACTAAGTAGGACACGGCCGGCGCCCCGCACTAGAACTGGTGTAGATGTTGTGCCGGATGCGGAGTCGCGATGACGGCGGCATGCGACTCATAGCAGTTCTGGGCCCGTTTCTCATCCTTGCAGCCAGCGCAAAGCGTGATGCGTAACTGGCTGGGAATCGGAATCGTTGTTACGCTCTAACAGTGCTCGATGTCATCTTGAGAAGTGAATGAGAAGTGTTTTAAGAATCATGGGTTTGATTTATTTCGTTTCTAACAGCATTTTTCTGGGGGATTGGTGATCTGTATTGTGCAGGGAGTCCATTTTGGATATTTTCATGCTGGCGCGCTATTCTTCCAATCTGAGTCGGAGCATTATCGTCCACTGCCAGTCTGTAGTGGAGCGGATTTCGCAGACGAATACAGGTTTTTCTCGCTGTACTGATTTCCTCTCTTGAAAGAAATGACAGCGGCTGCCTGAAGCGTATGTCTGAGAGGACGTCGACACGGGAGCGTCCGGCCGGCGTCCGCACCAGAAGGTTCTTGATCACGTGCCTGACAGTATGCTCCGCGTTGACTTTGGAATCACAGCCTCTGATAGCCTAGTCCGATGTGACACAGTAAAAACGCTTTTCTTGAGGCAGCACAAACCGCAGCAACTTTCCATACAAATCCTGTCGTATCCCAATGTGCAGGATGAGGGAAACATGCGACATGTGGGTCGGGAGGAAGGCGCTTTTAGTTACTTCGGCACATCCACAGGCATGAAAAGTTCCAAGATGAACACCCTTAACCCCTGACCTATGGGGGTGAGATTTTATCGTCCCACATCAAACACAAGCTTTTGATCAGTTTATCCATTTGTGCGCCAAAACAGCTGTCTCGGTCGTTTTCCCGCCGGGATCTGGCAATGTCCATATACATCGTATTGCATCACTGCTTTGCTAGTCGATCACGTCGCTTCGGTCAATCACACGACCTTGCTCATAACTAACCCAACTAGACAAGACAGTAGTTTAAGCCTTATTCTTCAGAAAAAAACAGGAGAATGGATATACCGTTGGGTTGATATTTCGGCAGCATGCCTTTATTGAAACAATAGCAGAAGTGAATTCCGCCGCAGGGCACATAAGTAAAAATGCAGAAAGGAATTCACTTCTGCTATTGTTTCGATAAAGGCATGTTGCCGAGTATGAACCTGACTATAACTCCATTCTCCTGTTTTTTTTTTCGAGGAATGAGGCTAATACTACTGCCTTATCCATGTGAATAGCGTTCCTCGCTCATGCACTGAACAGCTCACGTAACTAACCTATCTAACCTAACAGTGCAAAATGGCCTCCACGCCGACTTGCCACCGCATGACTAGCAGCGACCGAGTACAAACTGAACTTGTGCCATTGGGAGTAAGTACCGCTGTGCATTTGGACCAGGACATCCCCGGCCTAACGCGTGCATTGTTTTACCGAACAGCGGCAGGTTCATTTCACCCAGTGACGCCACGTGAGGCCCCCGAAAGGGCGCTGCCTCGTTTTCGGGAGCGGTCGGTGGTATGTCTGCGTCCTCGTGGCTCGTCTATTGATAGCCCACGCTCGACGCGAGCGAGGTCGGCGGGGTTCGCCCGCCAGACGCACGCCTGAAAAAACTTGGAGCCGGCGGCGAGCGGATGAGAGAACAAACACTCGACAGATGTGTGATCACTGTACGATAGCAAGCCTTAAGGCTAGTATGCGGGGCTGTAGCGGCAAGGACATTGCTCCACTGACGCGTTTGAGAGCTTGCCGTTCATGGGCGGTGCGGCTTATTTTGTGCGAGCCATGATAGGCTCAAAAAAGTCACCGAGGCGTTGGACACCAAATAAAAAAACGACACATTGCTGAAGCCCAATTAAAGGGCTTAAAAGAAAAAGTAACGCCAAAGAATTTGTGTGGCCGGTTGAACTAATCGGCTGTGTTCTTTGAATACATCCTACCATTCATCGACGGCGAAGAGCGCTCACCGCGCCGAACACCGAAGAACCAAGAAGAGGGAGCACTGCGTAGTAGTCCAATTCCAATGAGCGCGTACACAAGCGCGGGGGGTGAGGGGACACGTTCGAGTCGCTCCGTGCCCCCCCCGACCTTCACGGGCTAGGGCCATCGTCTTCATTCAACTCCGGTGCTTGCCGCCTCACTATGGTGTTGACGACAGCCTTGGCGTCTCTCTGGGGTCGTTGCTTTGGCCGCCGCTGCACCTGCTCAGCGCCGCGGCTGAGTTGCAGTGCTGGTTTTCAGGAGTCGAGGCAGGGTTGTAGGTCTGGGACAGCCGGTCTCGTCGACCTGTGCTCGCACCGCTGTCGCATCTAAGTACACTTGCAACTGCGCAGCACCAGCCGCCGCAGCGTAGCAGATGTCCAGTAGCGCCGCCCCGTAGCATGCTGTCTATGCCAGCATCGTCCAGCAGTCCACTCTCCGGAAGCAGGCATCCTGGATGACTGACAGAAGTCAGGTTTTCTGTCAGAGCAGGTCACTACTGCGGCCTGACCAGGGATGGCGGTCGTTTAGTCCGGCGTTTCAGGTCACCTCTGTTCGTATAGAAATACGCAGAAACTTTTCTGTTATTGCTTCCAAATTATATGGCACATGTTCTCCGCTGACGCGCTCATTTGCGACGCGCTTGCTACCATTCGGCTCAGGGAAGTCTGGTATGTTTGTTGGAAAAGAATACCAGCACACGAAATAAGAGCGGTCCTTTTCTGGTGTGAAGCTCCCATCGGTCTGTTCGGTTACTTTTCTTCGATTCTGGTTGAGGTGAGACCCGGGTCATGTGTTGCGCGCCGCTGATAGACCCAAGCCTCTGACCCGCGGGCTGCGCTTATGGGTTGACTCAAGCTTACAAGACGTGAGCCGCTTGTGTAATGAAATTATAAATTGCGCGCTTTACTAGCGAGTGGTACTGAGTACATCCCAGAACGAATGCATTGTTTGGCCCAACTGGCATGGTTAATTAAGGTTGAAACTAGGCAGTATTACAGTGGTTCTAGTTACATTGTACCTACTTGCCATTCATTGATGTCCTAACAGCTTGTTTTTACTAGGTTGTCTGTTTATGTTAGCCAGAAATATAGTATAGGTCAGTGATGGCTAGTTAATTTTCTACTCATCCCTGGATTATTCACACAGATAAGACAGTAGTAAAAGCCTTTTTCCTAGGACACAAAACAGTAGAATGGAAATATAGATGGGTTGATATTTTGGCAACATGCCTGTATTGAAACAGTGGCAGAAGATTGTTTTGATCTGATTTATTTATGTTATTGCATCAAAACAATGGCAGAACAAATTTCTGCTATGGTTTTGATGATGGCAGGTTGCTGAAATATCAACCCATCTATATATCCACGCTCCTGGTTGTTCGTCGAGGAATAACACTTACTACTGTCTTATCTGTTACACTTGTGTTGTGCATCAAGATAGCTGTTTTCAATACAATGTATGCATAGCCTATACACGTTTTGACACCCAAGCACAACCTCTCTATGACTCCAACACTAATGTTACCAGCATTGCCATTCTGTGGGAAGCCCCAGGACACCACGCCCAATGGTAGCATGTCCGGATGTGGTTCCCTTTTCAGTTAGGGAGGTTCCAGCCCCCCCCCCCTCTGAAAAAATTGTGCTCCATCCCCCAACTTTGAAAAGAAAGAGAAAGGGAGATCAAGAGAAGAGAAGGGAATTTTGATTGAAAGACATTGTTGGCCTATTTTGAGGGTAATATCTGTTATTTTTGGCTGTTCAGCCCCCTCCCCATAAGACATTTTGCGAACCTATGCCCGTGGTTTCACTGGTAGTATGCTGCAAATAAAAAACAGTTAGGAGAAATAGCATAACCCAGTGTGGTCACCATTTTTTCATTCCTTAGTACCATTGCTGTCGTCCGGACCCAGATTCCCCATGAACGTGAAATGGTTAAGCAAGCGTACACGGCAGTTGTTTTATTTAAATATGCACCATGCCTGATGGGCAGTAGGCGTTGGAGAAGAGGCCGGAATATTTTTGTTGAAGTGATTTGATTAGCCATCTCATTGCTCTGTTGTTAGAACGTAATGTGTGTAATGTGTAACAGGGTAAGGTAATGGGTAATGTTTGGCCAGCTTGTTGGCTCGCGTATAATACCGTGCCTGGCTGGTTCAGATATGGCGGTCGATTTGCAACTAGTCAAGAGAGCAGGCTGAAGCAGGGCAAGTCCTGCCACGGTACTAACATTTCGGCACAAATTTTCTGCTCAGCTGGAATTACTGTACCGGAGGGGTGCAGACAGCGTCTTCGTGACAAGGAATGCCTAGTAAGGACTGTAAGCACAGCCATCCCTCTAAAACATTTGATCAAAGTCCCAAAACAGTGACGCTGTTTGTCCCAGTGGTACCGCTGTAACAGAGGGGATGAAGCTGTACCACAGCCAACGCCACCAAGTTTGAGGTGCTTAACAGACACTTTGTGACCTGACCAGTATACTAAGGCCGACGTAATAACATTTTGATGACGGTCTGGAATATTTCGTAACCTCATGACCGTCTCGGTACAAATACCCAACTGGTCATTCTCAATAACAATTAGCACCTGGTGACGGTCAAAGAACTAACGCCTTGCCTCAATTGCTCCCGGAAACAAATGCGTGTTCTGGTCTTGTGTAGTTAAATCAGATCATAAAAAAATAATTTGGTTTCACTAACGAACGTTGCGCACTAAATTCGGCTGCGGTTTTGGCCTCGGGTTTTTAACTGATGGGTTGGGCTTTGGCTTCATTTCTCTAGATTTGAAAGGAGTGGCTTTGGATTTGGCTTCACGTTATAAAAATATGAAACCACGGGCATTGTTTGATTTCTTAACCTCAAAGTTGAAGTCTTGCTCTTCGACATAGAATTTCCAAACCTCAAAGCCACTGGCTTCGGCCTTTATTTCTTATTTATGTTGTATAGATAAGTCAGTAGTAATAGCCTATTCCTGGGAGCAAAACCAGGAGAATGGATATATAGCTGGTTTGGTATTTCGGCAGCATGCCCTTATCGAAACAATAGCAGAAGTCCTGCTATTATTTAGATAAAGACATGTTGCCGAAATGTCAACCCAACCATATCTCCATTCCCCTTTTTTCTCCGGAGAATAAGCTGTTACTACTGTCTCATCTTTGTGAATAATGTTCCTCGCTAATGCACTGAACAATTTATTTCATCGTCTTGTTTTCGGATTAGGCGTCGAAATCCGGGGCATCGCCGCTCCCATGCCCGATCCGTATAAACAATATCTAGTGAATGTCACCCACTTGTTAAGTGGAGTGGACTGTCATGGTCGCGATGTTAAATTCACGTATATATTTTATTATTTTATATTTTTATTAATTCTTTTTAGAGAATTTTATTAATATTTTTATCAATTCTTTTTTAGAGACTTAATTCTAATTTTGGGCATTATATTTTTGCCCATCCAACGAATGGCGTAACTATGAGAAGAGAGAAGACCTCTCGGTGCTGGTGGCATTCGTCCACCAGCTCTTCTCATCCGCTCCACCGCCGCCTTGGATAACCAAGACCGTCGTTCTCGTCGTGGTGACTGAAGCCGTGGACTGACATCGGCGCCAAGACGCGCAGCGTCAGCGATGCGCCAGGCCACGGCCGGACCGCTTGAGGTCCCGGGCCGTGTCCGGCGGGCGGGTGGGCGGCTGGGCGGGGGCCGGCCGGCCGGCCAGCGAGGCGCTAACGGTCGCTATGTGCCCCTGTTGCAGGGATGCTGGGCCGGCTGCTGGCGCCGTTGCGGGCCGCGCTGGTCGCCGGCGCGCCCGCCCGCCCGCTGAGCGGCGCTCTGCCGCTAGCCGCCCGCTCGCTGAGCGGCGCCCTGCCGCCCGCCGCCCGGCCGGCGGCGCGGCTGTCCGCCGTGCTGGGCCGCCTCCTGACGCCGACCCCGGCGCCGACCCCTGCCGCCTGCCGCACCATCTCGCTGGAGACGCTGCACAAGCGCCTGCAGAACCGCAAACCGTACGTGAAGAAGCGGCCGCTGGACGGCAACCCGCAGATGAAGGGCGTCGTACTCAAGACTCTCATCAAGAAGCCGAAGAAGCCGAACTCGGCCAACCGGCGCTGCTGCCTGGTGCGGCTCAGCAACGGCAAGGAGATGGTGGCGTACATCCCCGGGGAGGGCCACAACCTGCAGGAGCACAACATCGTGCTGGTGCGCGTGGGGCGGCTCCGGGACGTGCCCGGCGTCAAGATCAAATGCATCCGCGGCAAGTATGACCTCTCGCACGTGGGTGAAGAAGACACCTGACGTAGTGCCGGTGGCGCGGAGAGGCGAGCAGGCCGGCGCGCGTGCGGGTGTGGGTGGAGTGATGCCAGACGGGGCGGTGTAGCAGTGGTGTGTGATTGCGTGCCCGCTGGTTGGGAGCAGGCTTGACCCTGCGTGGAAATCGTAGATTAACTCTGTGCTGAGCTGTCGTGAGATTGCCTCTGGGTTAAGAAATATGTGGGAACGTGCGAGCAAAAGGGCTGATGTTCGACGGTGCAGACATGGAGCGGAGTCCTGTGTGTGTGTTATCCCACAAGTGTGGTATCTGAGATCGACGTGTTTTCATTAATAAAACGCATTCTGACGGACGCACATACCATGCGAACGAGAGATTTGAAACGGGAAAGCGGACGTGACAACTATTATCCACGCCTTTAGTTAGCATGGAAGACCTTGAGTTTTCAAATCGCGAACAAGTTGGAAGAGACCGGTAAAACCAGATCCAGGCCGGGTCAGACGGATAAAACCAGATTCAGTGTGGTGTACACCAGTGTCATGCCAGTCCCATGGTGCAGTCACCGCCTCACAGCAGTCGCAGCGGACACCGCCCTGCGATCGCCATGGCGAGACGGGAACGTCCCGTGTGGAAAGCTCCATTTCACACGGCTAGGTGGACATGAACCGTGACAAGCGTGCCCACGACCTTCCGCTCACTTCAGCTGTGCAGACGTCAAGCTCTCTCCTTCACTTGCGTATGGCCTTCCGTGTTATCCATGTTCTGTCGCCCTGGGTGTGGTCTTTTGAAGACGTTTTGCATTTGCGGTCACTTGCGTATTGTATCGCAGGTGGCCACGACCTCTACTAGATATGTGCCATTATTTGATGAGGGTGTTCAACCCGTGTCACTGAGTCTGTCACTGTCACTGACTTATCTGCCACTGAGTCAGGTTATACGTTCCTGTTTGTTGCATCTGCTGTCAGGCTTAAAGTATCGGTACCCTTGCCTACCTTACAAATCTGCAGTTTGGCCGCAGTGAACACTGTCTCGAATTTCGGCGTTGGGAACGATGCTTTGAAATTTTACGTAATTTTCTGCTCCGGGACTTTGTTATTTGCTAATTATACCTGAATTTTTACAATATTGAAATATGAAGGATAGTGGCAATCCAAAAATTTGTCATTAAAGCGGTTGGATGATGACGTGTTCATGTTCTGATGCACCTGGCTGGCTCCAGGAGGCTCCCAGGCGCCGTCTGTCCCTGCTGCGCTGCTGGCGTCAGGCGCCACTCACTCTCCGCCCCCGTTCCAGATGGGTCATGTGGCGCCACAGTGAGATTCAGCGTCAGGTGCTGGCGCTGTACCGGCAGTGTCTGCGCGCCGCGCGCGACAAACCCGGCGCCCCCGAGGCGGTGCGCCGCGAGTTCCGGCGGCACGCGGCCATCCCACGCCGCGAGACGCTGCGCATCGAGTTCCTGCTGCGCCAGGGTCGCCGCAAGCTGCAGATGCTTCAGGACCCGCACGTGTCCCAGATGGGCCAGTTCAAGAACGACCAGTGAGACTGCGCACCGGCACGTGGCGCGGCGAGCTCGGGGCGCCGACGGCCACCGACCTGCTGACGGCCTGAGATCCACCGGATCTGACCTGACTTGACCTGAGACGGCACCGGACGCGGTGCGGCTCCCGCCCCTCCTGCTCTATCTCCCGCCGCCGCCGCCGCATCATGAGCCGCCTAGTGCGCGCGCGCCACCTGGCCTGGTGTCGTACGCAGCCGGCCTAGCGGCGCAGCAGGCGGCGCTGGCGGCGCACGGCGCGGCGCTGGCCGCCGGCGCGCCGCCGCCGCACCAGCTGCTGCTGCTGGAGCATGCGCCTGTGTACACGGTGGGGCGGCGCCAGCGCGACACCGGCGCCGCCGAGGAGCGCCGCCTGCGGGCTCTGGGCGCCGAATTTGTGCGCGCCGGGCGCGGCGGCCTCACCACCTTCCACGGGCCTGGACAGCTGGTTGTGTACCCGCTGCTCAACCTGGCGCGGCTCGGTGTCAGCGGGCCCCGGCGGTGAGCGCCGGCGGGGACTGGGGGGGGGGGGAGGGGGGGGGGGGGGGGGCAGGCGCGATGAGCGTTGGAGGAACGGGCCAATGTGCGAGGTTTTTTATGTGATGAATTAGTAGAACGAGTGTGTCCGCCATTACATCATTGTAACTGTGGCCACAAGCCTTCATTTCTTGTGATGTTCTTTAATGAAACAAGCATTTGGCGGGATAGCATGTGGGGACAGGTAATCATAGGCTAGGATTGGTAGCATTGAGCATGATAGGTGACTGCAGAAGGGAAAGACGCGATTGTTAATTTCTTGGACAAGACGTCCAAAGTGGCGGGGGCAACATGCGCCACCGCGTGGGTTTACAATCAGGATGCACTGGCGATGGCGATCAGTTCGTTTACATTGGCCCCCCAACAAATAAATTTTTGAAGAGGACTCGTGATGTGACGTCCTCTCAACGCTTTGAACTCCTGCGTGTTGCCCTCCCCACCAGCTGGCATATGGCAGTCCGTGTACGTGCGTCGGGCTGCTGATGGCGCCATCTGCATGATTTGGCGCGATAGTGCCGCCCCCTACACGGTCGTATTTGACAGTGGCGCTGTCTGGGGCAGGTACGTGCACCTGCTGGAGGAGGTCGTGATCGAGGCCTGCGGTCGGATGGGCGTCGCCGCCGGCACCTCACCCCACACCGGCGTCTGGGTCGGAGAGAACAAGATATGCGCCATGGGTAAGGCGGGTGTGGCTGGGTCACGGCCGGGGTGGGGAGTCGGCAGGGTAAGAACTTCCTGAGAAGTGCCAGCTTTCACGCACGAAGCGTGCGCGCATGTGTGATGGGGGAGGTGACACATTCTGTCTAATAGGAGGTACGGTAGATTTTTAGGATAAGAGTAGACTTGTCTGTTGTTTGTGTTCATTGCCGTCACATCGTTACATGATGTTATAATAATAATATTCGCACTTACACTGGAAGGGGCACGCCTAGGGCATGACACGACTCGCGCGACTGCTTAGCTGGTCGCGTGTTGTGCTTCTGTCTAGTTGCTAACATAATGAGCGAACAGATGCTGCGCTGCGGAACTCGACAGACACGTTAGCGTTACGTTCTTGATCCACCATAAGAGCGCTGTGCTATAAACTCCGGAACGTGCGATGGTTTTTCCGTAAGGTCAGTAGTATCGTGTTTCATTATCTGCCAGTGACCCAAACGGCGATACTGGAGCTGTGTCTTATGTCGTGACGTCTAGAAGACATTGGTTCGCTTTGAGGGACTCGTGACGTCGTTGGATACCTGGATACTTGCGTGCGTCGCAGGCGTCCACTTCACGCGGCGAGTGCTGACATCTCACGGCCTGGCGCTGAACTGCTGCGTGGACCTCGACTGGTTCCGCCACATCGTGCCCTGCGGCATCGAGGACAAGTTCGTGACGTCACTGACGGCCGAGCTGGGTCGGCGCGTGTCCGTGAACGAGGCCACGAGCCACGTGGTGGACGTCCTGGCGGAGCTGCTGAACTGCGAGATCGTTTGGGACGACTCCTGACGGCCACTGACAACGCTAGAAAGGGAACGATCCGTAGAATCTGGCTGATCAGGGAGCCTCGGTGTAGCGATGTGGACGCCCTTTGGCCAGACGTTGTAGACTGGATGCTGATAGCGTGCGTGGTTGTAGTAGCGGACTAGTCAGAAGTTGACGCTCTTAGCGGGTGTAGCCGCGTAATGGTCAACAGTTGGCACCCTTAGCAGTTGTAAGCCCGTCTGATGTGGCAAGTGCAGCTGCCGCCGCAAGTTAATTAGACCACGGGGACCGGAGTAGCCACAGGCTATGGATGGCGCTTGAGGCCAGCATGTGTTTTTTTTTGTGTCAGCAAGGCATAAACGTCATTTTACCGGGCGGGTTTGTGCAGGTCACGAGCGCTGTCACTTATTTCCCGGATGCTCCGCCGTTATGTTCAAGCAGACAATACAGATAATAACCGAGCCAACCATTCTCGCCACTAGGTATGAAGGAAGCACATCGTGATACCGAATATAAGGAGTAGATAGTAGGATAATGCTTCGACGATTTTATATGAGTAATAATGTTTTGTGTGCGGATATCGTTCACACGTGCGCCGTCAATTACCGAACGCATCGCATCCGCATCCAAGACACACCACGTGGCTAGCCGTGGTTAGCAGAGCTCCGTCAAATTATAGCGAGCTTCCATTCAACGAACCGGCCTAGCTGGCAAAGCTCCCATACCGATGTCCCCCAGTCGGCAAAGCTCCCATGCCGTATACCATTCTTGCAACACGGGCGTTCTGTTCGGTTCGACCCCCTCCCGGGCTATTCCGGAATACCTCTGAGGGAGACACCCATTCTCGGGCCTTCCCCTGACGTAAGAGGCCCTCTGGCCGGGGCAGCTATCCCAGAATCGACGCAGGGGCATTCACGGACACAAACGGATGCTCACCAGCAAGGTATCCAATAACTGGCACATCAACCCCAATTTGGCCTATCGGGTCCCGGATCAAAACGAGGTGGGCCCCTGCATTCGCTACTAAGGCCCCTTGACTGGCACAGGGCCCTTCCTTTGTCTCGTTGCTGGTCTTTTCATTGGTGTTGCTCATATCGCCTTTTGCTTTCAGGGGCCCAGACCGACGGCAAGAGTCCCTGACATTGGGGTGCCGTCTCTGTCCCGGTTCAACAAAGGAACCCCTGACCGATCCGGGGCACTTTGCCAAGACAGGATTTGCCGTTCGGCGCTGTGGGACGTGCCTCCCCTGACCGACACAGGCTCCATTGTCTCAGGGACCTCGACCACATGGTGCAGGCGTTCTAATAGTCATTAACGGGCCTCAGCTTTGTCCGTGCTCGGGAATGGGCTTTCAGGCTGACAAGGGTGGAGTATTCGGTACTGGTAATCTGTGGACGACATAGGAATCCACTTTGTCCCATTGGAGAATGTTAAGAGCGGCCCTTTGTCTTATGCCGGGCCGTTACCCGTCGGCCTCCAGAGGCCTTCCGG